CTCATCTTGACTGAAGGCTAATCAGTACTTTACCTTAAGGTTTACACTCTGGCTGGCCTTCACAATAGACTGCTCTCACTAGGGTTATAGTGCTATACCAGTTTCACAATATACCATGGTATGCAAATTGATGGTTATCATACCATGTGCATTTGCTTTTTACCGGTCTTGTGTCGAAATCTGTTTCCTCATCAGGATGTGTTTCCCCCAGTTAAAACTGTTTGCAGTAGTGCTGCCCCCTCTGTGGTTATGGTTAGGATAAGGGTAGGCTTCAGGTTGGGGGAAACGCATCTCAACGGGGAACATACACAACACCGGTATTGAACCAAAAAACGCAATGTGTGCACACCTTTCTTCCCTGACTACCTGTAAGACTCTGCAACAGGCACCACACACACACACACATGCAGCAGACAAATGGCAGCGAAAAGGAGGCGGATATCACCAAACTCCATCCACTAAAAAGAAATTAAAATCAACAGCACAGGATTACTTTGGAAGTCTCAGAAATGAACACCTTCGAGAACAACACCATCCCCTCCATGCAGGTCAAAGTATGTGTAATTATGTTTGTGTATGCACATGCATAGTTTTTGTGTGTTTGCTCACCCTCGGTCCACTTGTTTCATAGAGGTGCTTGTAAAACTGGTAAATTCCTCACACAGCTGGTGCCTGCTGTTAGCATTCCTTGTATGCATATGTTTGGGTGTGTGTGAGAGAGTCTGAGGACAGTTGTGTTTGCAGTGCTGCCACACTACTGGGGGCCAAGTGAAGCCAATTACTTCAGCATCAGATGTCAGAGCAAAATTGCTGGTTAGGACCATCAAAGAACAGCTGCCGTGTCAGATGAGGGGGAAATATTAAAATAGCACTTCATCTATCTTACAGTTGCAATTGTCTAAGGTTATCATTAGGTCTGGCTTTACAGATTGTTACAACTGCTAATCATCTCTGTAGCTTTTATAGTAACAGTCCTTTATGCAGAGCTCACCCTCTTGGCCTGCATGTCACCTTACAACCTACTGATGTCAGATAACTAGATAGCCTGTCAGTTAGATGGCCAATTAGTTTGTTTGACTTTGCTCCCCTTGTAGAGCTGGGAAGGGGCATTACCAGGATAATATTTCACATGAACCAAAGCCAGTGGTGAGGAAGAATACAATAAAAAAAAATCCCTTGGAAATCTGACCCAGACTGGGGCACCACAGTTGACACCGATCACCCTGCTTCTCACAACAAATGTTGCTATTTCTTTTTAGGATATTTCAAGTGAAATGTTTTTAATATATGGGGTATTTTAAGCAAAATAAGGAATAAATCATGCTTACCATCAGCTGCTGACAGGGTTTCCATATCCTCTGCCCATGAATTAGTGGGGAAGAAGGAAAATCCAGACTTTCATGTCAGGTTTGATATTTCCACCAGACACCAGAAAGCAGTTTAATGTGCATTTTTTAGGCTGACTCATTCACAGTTAGTACATGGTACAGTACAGTCTGTCAGCTCAGTGTATGAAAGTTTATTTATAAGGAATGAAGATGGAAGAAGACTTGATTACCTTAAACCCACCTGCATTGCGCCTCATGTGGAAACAAAAAATGGTAAAAGACTTGTTTGTCGTTTTATATCTACATGTATACAGTTGGACTCTCCAGGTGGAGAGCTCTGTAGATGTCCACTCAGTGGAGCTGTTGCACGATAACGTCTTTCACTGACAATGTGAGAGTAAACCACTGATTTGTAGTATTGCCCATTATAAGAATACAGACACATGTACATATTCTAAATGGTTGTTTTACAGTAGTTCAAAATTTGTCTTCCTTATAATTTTCATATTGCTCTGTTTATTTTGTGCAGGCATTGGAGGAGGCCCAGATAGCCATCCAGCAGCTCTTTGGTAAAATCAAAGACATCAAGGACAAGGCAGAGAAGTCTGAACAAATGGTGTGCACACACACACACACACACACACACAAAAGTGGCTTGTTTACACTTATCAGGGACATGACCCTAGCACAGGCGAGATCCAAACTGTATCCTGTATCCTCCTTCAATAGAGGACAGCAATTTATAGTTGAGGTAATGCACCTTCCATGACTGTCTGTTACAAGTGGTGCTGTGTTTTGTGTGTGTGAGTGTGTGTGTGTTTGTCAGTGAGAGTCAGAGGAAGGCCAGTAGGCTGGGTAAGTAGAGGAAAGATGAGGTGGTAGATTGGTGAGCAGACCCTCCCTCAAGAGGCATGTAGGAGCAATTATTCCTCAGCCCAGCAGCTGTGTCATTTATCCTGCTCTTATTCTCTTTGTCCAGATGCCCCTTCCAGCGAACCACTCTCAAGTCCATCACATTTTCTTGCTGCTTCCTTTTCGATCTCTGTATTTTTACCTCCTCCTCTCTTCCATGCTTGCTGTCATGTTTTCTTCTTCTTTGTCTGGTTCACCAATCTGTCTGGTTCCTCTTGCTGCACAGGTAAAGGAGATTACAAGGGACATAAAGCAGTTGGACCATGCCAAGCGCCACCTCACTACTTCCATCACCACCCTCAACCACCTGCATATGTTGGCAGGGGGTGTGGATTCTTTAGAGTGGGTATAATCACATTTCACACCAAAGACTCGCATAGTTAACCCCTAGAGCTTATTTAAAAGTAAATATTTTGAGTTGTGTGTTTTGAGATGCACCCATGAATAAAACATTCAATGCAGCTTGACCTTGCATCAAACCTTGTATAACCTTCAGCATAAATCATTAGTGGAATTACGGTGTTTTCAGTAATTTTTGTCAAAAATCAGTGGCCTGTGGGTCTGGGCTGCTACTGTATAGTGATGCACCATCTAATATAATATATGCAAAACAAGAAGAAAATTGTGTAGAATTTTATCTTGCAGATCTGCAATTCCCTCAAGGGCACCTCAGTCTCTAAGATCCCTATTCTATTGCATCCTGTATCTTCCCTTTTCAAGTGAAATGTGTTTGAAATATATTTATATTTAGTAGGACTGATGTTAGAATGATATGGCTACACGTTTACAGAGAAGGTTGTCTTAACCACCTGACAGTTGTAGTTTTTTTATTTACAGTAATATAGATAATTCACATATATGTTGTATTCCATGTGTTCCAGAGCCATGACCAGAAAGAGGCAGTATGGTGAGGTGGCCAATTTGCTGCAGGGAGTGGTCAATGTGCTTGAACATTTCCATAAATACATGGGTATACCCCAGATCAGACAGCTTTCTGAGAGGTAACGTGGCCACACACACACACACACACACACACACACACACACACACACAAGGGGTGTTTTCCAATACCAAGCATGTCAAGTTTGGATTCCTAATCTAAGCGGTTATTTTCTGGCCTGAAAAAAAATATGAAAACTTTATAAAGTGGCATTCCTAAGATGAATATTATAACAGCTTTGAGCCTGGATCAAACTCTAATAGCAGGCACACAGTGCATTCTGGGATACGTGACTGCCCCAAGTCCACACCCAAGTCAGGTCCCAAAGCACCCTCAATAAAATCAGTGGAGCAAGAACGCTTCTGGTTTTTTGGTGTGTACTTGGCTGGAAGCAGACTTTGAATTAGAACAGTACTTGGGCTGTGAGTGATGACGTTTTACAAGTCCACAAGAACAAAATAATACGCATATTGGAAAATTCCCAAGGACTCATTTCTTTACATTGTTTCCTCAGGTGGACTTTCTTTGAGTATATCAGCTTCTCTGACACAATGCCTAAACACTAGGGGTTTAGTGTCCTGCTCAGCCTCACTTGGGCTGTTTGGCCAGCAGCAAAGCTTTAAGCACATTTCCAGTAGACAGTTCAGGGCTTGATCTGTCCTTACAGCTGAAATGTGCCACAACTCCTGAGCTGAACTGTTGAAAAATGGCTACAGTATTTGACTGGAGGTAAACTTGCACAGTCCCACACATACAGAACACACAGGAAGGAAACCCACTGAATAGGGCCTTGTTATGCCAGCATTTCATCTATTGTGACAGATTAGGGCACACTTTCTGAGGGTGTGTTTGTATATCTGTGTATGTACCTCCACGTGTGTGTGTTGAAGATACATTTATTACTTAATAGAAGATTTAGAATTGTTTGTTTGCTCTGGAGAGGGTCACGCCAATATCTGGATGCGTTCTTTTGTCGGTACACAAATATTCACTCAGATTTTCTCACACAAAAACAGAACAAAGGCCATTGTTACAGTATTGTTTCTCACAGCTCTGATTCATTAAATTTCCTTTTTTGCTAATATTTTCCAAGAAGAGTAGAATCAGCTTGGGACACAATGGCCAGATTGATGTTCAGATTCAAAGAGGTGTTGATCTCTCAAAACAAAGAAAGGATCATTTTATGTTCTGTTCTGAGGTGTGGCAGACAGTGTTCATACCAAATAACAGCTGCATGGAAGAAGTGACTGGTAGAGGGACAGATGAGAGGAGACAGTCAGGGAAGGGAAGATATGAAGACAGTAGAGACACATGGGTACAAAGGGTTAACAGAAAAATAACACTACTATTCTGTGAGAAACATGGCCAGACTAACACGTTAGTGCTACAGATAGCATGAACAGAAATGAGACGGATGCACAGACAATCAGTGTATCAGACAAACACAGTCAAGAATGCATATAGACACAGGATAAAGGATAAGATGGGGAGTATCTAATTAATAATAGAAATAACTGAAATGGAGTGGTGTAAAAGAGTGCTCATCTATTAAAGCTGCATTAACTAACTTCTCCCTCTAATTTTCAACCATTAAGGGTGAAGTGAGATTCAAAACAGACTCAACCGCCTGTAACTTGACATTTAAACATCACATTTTATTAGGACTTATTACTCATTTTTAGAAATAAGAGCTATGTGCACATCCCAGTACTAAAAATCCAAAGGATATTTCTAACTGTGATAAAAGCTCAATTTACTTTAAAAAAGTGAAACTTCTACAGTGTTACAGGCTAATATAGATATTAGAGCTCTCTGACAGCCTCCTGCTGGCATTTCTCTATTCCTGCCTTTACTTCTTTAAATCAGTGAGAGACATTAGCATTTTGTCCTGACAGTGCTTTGAATTGTGACTAAACTGAGTCAGTGCAGCTGTCACCTTTGAACAGGATTGGCTTTGATTGTTTTAATAAGCCTTTTCCTTGTCATCCCTTAATGTTTTTCTAACTATCTCAACCACACTACTCAGCTGTCAAACAGAGAATTGCTCTGACTGCCTGGGTATACAGTAGCCTGCACCTTGTACTGTATATACTGTAGATGATTGCACAAACTACACCCACAGACTAGACAGAGTCAGGCCTGCTGCTGACAGCTTGGTCTCAGTCAGATGCAACAGCTGTAGACTCTTCTCTAGACTCAGACAATTTAATAAAACTTTCTGACATCAGTTTATCAGAGGGTGACACACAGCTGAAACAGGAGCTACAGAGGACTACATGCAGTAAAAGGCTCATTCTCAGTAGCTGAGTATATGACAGATGTCTAGTTAGAAGCATGGTTGGGTTTGTTGTCAGCAAGCACTTGAAATGAAGGCTACCAGTTCAGTTGGCATCCATCTGGGATACTATCTCTCCACCCTCTCCTGTTTATTCTGGACAGTCGTCATGGTTTTGGAAGCTGTCCTTGGTTAACCCAGTCCGGATGCCTTCAGGAGAGCGTGTGCTCTGTGAGGACTGAACAGACAAGGATTATAGACCTCATTATATAAGCTGTTTTTTTGCCATGTGTATTTATTGTTGCTTTACTAAAGAGAAGCCTCTGTATTCATCTTCATGAGAATAGATGCATGGCTGAAAAATCCTTGTCACTAGAAAACTAGTCTGGTGCATATTGGAGGTTTCCCCATGAACATGCCATTATTCAAATAAAATAACTGACTGATTGAGGAAACGGTGAAGAGCTCAGTGTCCTTGCTTTTTGTCCTATTTAGAGTAAAAGCAGCACAGAGTGAGCTGGGGACTCAGATTCTGGCAGATTTTGAAGAAGCCTTCCCCTCTCAGGGCTTTAAGGTTTGTTGTATAACAATCCAGTTTTTCTAGGCAAATGCATTTCATTTATCTCTGTCGAGACATTTTTTCTTGTCTTCTTGCCCTTCAGCGCAAAACTTTGTCATACTTTTTATTCCCTTCCAGAGACCGGGTGGTCCCAGTAATGTGCTGAGAGATGCCTGTCTGGTAGCCAATGTGCTGGACCCACGCATCAAACAGGAGATCATAAAGAAGTTCATCAGGCAGCACCTCTCTGAGTACCTGGTGCTTTTCCAGGAAAACCAAGATGTGAGTGAGAATTTGAATACCCTCGTGTACAAGATTGTATCTGGTTACTGCAAATACCTAATTGAAGCAGGTGGAATTTAGGTTTCTCTGTCCTGTTGCTCAGGTTGCATGGCTGGACAAGATTGATCGCCGCTACGCCTGGATTAAGCGGCAACTGGTCGACTATGAGGAGAAATATGGACGAATGTTTCCGGAAGAGTGGTGCATGACAGAACGTATTGCTGTAGAGTTCTGCCACATCACCAAGTGAATGCACATACACTGCGATAAGCGTTGACACAAAGCTTTATGCTATGAACTCTTATTAGTCTGTTTAGTGAATATAGAAAAAGAGAGGGAAAAAGAAGGGAAATTGAATTAAACTGGCAAAATTGAGAAACTGGCCCTGGCATTGTCAAGTGAACCACACTAGTATGGTGTGCCTGACATGACTGGTGCGACATTCTGTGCAGCTGACATACAGTAGGTGGCCTAAATTAGCAGTGACCTAGTGTCTACAGTCCTCGACCTTAGCTGTACGAGAGAAGAAAGCAGTGGTTACTGTGCTCCCATCTGTGAGTGACAACAAAAAAGAACATCTGGCAAAAAATCATGGTAGTGTTGGGGAAAATAAGCCTGAAAAGATATGTGGGACATTTAGTTTGTCAGAGCATAGAGATTAGAGGTAACATGCTCAGACTGATTTTGTGTGTTATGTGTTCTCGTCTGCTTAAGGGTGGAGCTAGCCAAAGTGATGCGAACCCGGGCTAAGGAGATTGAGGTGAAGCTGCTTCTGTTTGCCATTCAGAGGACCACAAACTTTGAGAGTTTACTGGCCAAACGCTTCACAGGCTGCACCTTGACCGACGTACCAGGAGTGAGAAAGGCACACACACACAGACACACAATACGTGTCGATCGATACAGCTGTACTGATTGCAGACATTTCACATTATTCACACTGAAAATGCACAGGTTGAGGTTAAAGATGGAAAATTTGATTTTTATTGCAATATAATAGCACTGTTCACTGACACCTGTCTTGCATTATGCTTTGTACCGCAAACATGAAGCTGCTGATTGGTAGCAGAGAGTCTGGTGTCACAGCCTGAAGAAACCTTCTAATCCGGGTCACCCTGGTGTATGAAGGGACTGGTGAAGGGCACAGTTAGTTTTGTCGGGGCACAATTAGGCCCCACTTGTTCAGAGCTGATAACACATCTTCCTAATGGAAGGCCCTTTTGTCTTCAGTTCAGTTAGACCCACACAAGTTAGGTTCTTTAAGTCAGTCAGGGTTTTGGTTGAGTGGAATTTTATAATTGGTGTTGCTGTTTCATCATGGTGTAGTTGAGACATGGAAGAAAGTAATGATACCTGGACCTAGTTCTAATTATTTATTGTCTGTGCAATAATTAAACAAATTCTTCTGAGTCAAAAGCCTGGATCGAGCTGTAGCAGAGAATACTAAACTGTATCTGTGTTTGTCCAGAAAAAGAGGCCAGAGAGCCCTCTAGACCCAACTAACCCCTTCCTGGAGGATGAGCCAGGTGAGGATGTGGGCACAGACAAAGAAGACAATTTGGCCAAGGTGAGATGATCCAGACTGAACCTATCTGAGTTTTTTGCAACATAAAGGTGACCGTTCCTAGGCCTAAAAGCCCATTTTCCTCCACTCTCTCAGCCCAGGAAGCCGAAAGCTCCGGACAACCCTTTCCATGGCATTGTCTCCAAGTGCTTTGAGCCTCATCTATATGTTTACATAGAATCCCAAGACAAGTGAGCAACACACACTCCTACAGGCAGACAAACTCAAATTCGGTGGTGGTTCACAGACCCAGAATCAGAAGCAGGTTGTGTGTAAAGCTGGCACATGCATCCTTTTTCCATTGACCACCCATCAATCAGGTCTCCCTCCTCCTATTATGCTTCATTGCCTCTTCTGTCTTTCCATCTCTTGTTCCTGTACATGCCTCTGTCTCCACTGTGGCAGCAATGTTTCCCATTAGCTACATGACCACAGACGCTGAGAGAAAGAGAGGGAGAGGCACTGAATAAGTGCTGCTGCAGCAGATCTGCCCATTTTGATCCCTATCTCAGTAATTTTTATGACCCCTTCTCTTTCTTTTTGTGTAATTTTTGTTTCAGTCCTCTTTTTTTATCTCAGTCTTTTGTTCTTTGTTTTTCATTTCTTACAGTGTCTCTTACTATTTTTCATCCTGCATTACTTTTTTTGTTTTACCTCCCCCTCCGTCGTCTACCACCATGCTTCACCTGTATCGGTCCCTTCCCTCCTCCAGTCATGGTGATCACTCCTGAAACTGAACACATTACTGGGTGTGCTGTGCTTGTATGCAGCCCCTGGCCTTTGGCTCTCTGGTGCATTAAATGCTGTTTGTCTGTCCAAGGGAACAGGTTTCACCTATTCTGCAGCTACAACCTCATTTCAGCTCAATCCAAAGGCCTTAAACAGGCAACAGCCAGATCAGCTTGTCCCCAGTGGGGCCTAGCAGGAGAGAACAGTGGCCTGCTTGTTTTGTCCTTGGCTGCAGTTCCAAGTAGGACTGAGCCACACAAACCCAGTGTAGACCTGTTGACTAGAGTACTGAGGAGCGGGATATGCCTGGAATATGTTTTGCTTTTTATCCAGCTGGCTTTCTCTGGCTGCCTGTTACTTTATCCTTTCATTTATCTATTGGGGATAAGAACCAATCTTATGGTTTTAATGTGTAAACATTTTTATTAAATTAATTTATTTCCATTCATGCCCCTAATCCAACCACCTGTGTGTGTGTGTGTTTGTGTTTGTGATCCTGTGTTGGTTTGGCTGCACACGTTTGGACATCTGCAGAAACCTGGGTGAACTTATCGACCGGTTTGTAGCTGACTTCCGAGCACAAGGCCCACCCAAGGCGGGCACGGAAGAAGGTGGAGCAGTACTGCCCAGCTGTGCTGATCTCTTTGTCTATTACAAGAAGTGCATGGTGCAGTGCTCCCATCTGAGCACTGGAGAGCCAATGATTGCCCTCACAACTATCTTCCAAAAGTTCCTGAGAGAGTACGCTTGGAAGATCCTGTCTGGCAACCTGCCCAAGTAAGACTGGCTCAGGTTTGACATCATTAACATGTAGCATGCACAACAAGTCTGAATCATGTTGTGCGGTATATGCATGATTATGTCATATGTCACACTGGATGCCTCCGGACCGGGATGCTGCTGTCTGTGGTAAAAGAACACAAGGCTGGCATTATGCTGGCTTTTTTTAGTTCAGTGGAAATGGGCAAGCTGCAATAAAGAAGGGCCAGTTTAACAACAAATCTCTGTGCAAAAGAGCCTCACTAGCTGACTAGAATTCACTCTATTTCAACATTTTCTGGGCAGTAACACAAACATGGATTTATTTAGTATTAACTTTTCACAAACGAGCATGACACTCGTATCGGTTCATTGTTTTCGTATGGTGATGTGACTGTTTAGGAGTTTAGTTTGAAGCTTGGCTTGAGTCATGGCTGTGTTTGATGTAGTAGGATGGCATGCTACGAAGAATCTGGAGTTGGTTATGTTGTGGCAAAGTTTAATGCTACCAGCAAAAACATTGCTGTCTCATTGGCCACATTAGAACCCGTTACCGGCTGAAACAGAATATGCCTGTGTTTCATACATATTCTGTTTCTGTCTCAGATATGCATGTGTGCTAATTACACGCTTGCATTCACAGACTAATGTACACCATATTATCAGCCATATAAAAACACTCTGAAAAATGTACTCAGACGCTTTACAAGTGTGTGTACACTTACAGGCGCATGCAGATACGCTGCTCCAGTGTGGTGTGCTGTAAACTGGCGTTGTGAGGTTTTGAAAGGGGCCCTTGAACCATGTTGTGGTTTTAGCTACATGTTTATTAATGACTGGGTTGTCGCCTAACTGGCCCAGCATCCCCATACCTTTGACTCCTCGTTGTTATGTCTGTCTCAGTTACCAAAAATGTGTCCTCCTTTACCTGTGTTTTTAAAAGATAATGTTCCACAGGGAGTTGATATAAAGCAAACAATCTCAATAACAAACAGGGTCCTCATCAGCCAGTCTTAAGAACAACAGACAGCATCTTGGAGTTCATCTTAAACCATGATCATTCTAATTCACCTTATAACTTTAAGGCATATAGTCATCTGTAAGCAAAGTGAAGTCACACCACAAAAATTTAAAATACACAAGACTAAATGCAGCTTTCAAAAAAAATTTTTCAAAAATTGATGAATGCCTTAACGCAAGTACTCACACTGTACAACAGCTAAATCTCAGTTTTTAAAGTTTTTTTTTATGATCAGATGAGAAATGCATCGTGCAAACTCTTAAATCATACACGTTAATTTACATATAAAATATACTGACAGAAATTACAGATTGAACCTTTAAGCATTTTCCCATCTGAGTTAACTTCTCTATCATTGTCTTTTTATGTTTTTGCCTTCTTCTTTGTTTTACTGCTACTTTGCTGTGTCACCTTTGACCTCTGTCTCCTTCTGGCTATCCAGGTCCAACAATAACAGTGGGGGTCTTACCATCAGCAGTCTGCTGAAGGAGAAAGAAGGCTCAGAAGCTGCTAAGTTCACCGTAGACGAGCTCTGTCTGATCTGTAGCATCCTTAGCACTGCAGAATACTGCTTGGCTACCACACAACAGGCATGTACACAAACTCAGTCACACAAATACATACTGATGCCCTGACCAAGCAATGATACGTTTGTACCTTTAATAGATTTTAAACAAATGATCTATCTTGCTTCCCCCTTGCGGGAGCATTGGCAGGACATCGTGATAAGTATCTCGTTGTTATGATACTGGGCAAATTTTTTTTCTCATGGTGGCAGCTATAGGCTGTCGTAATGTGCTAGAGAATGTAAGATACACATCAGTTGCAGAATATTTAACTTGTGTTTCAACTGTTTTTAAGAAACTCAGTTATGATTACAACACGGCCTGAGGCGTTTCAACCATTCAGTTTGATTGTTTTTTTTTTTTTTTCTTTCAACATACTGCACATGGAGCAATTTTAAGTCTGTATTTAAAAAAAAAACAGGCCTACCAATGGATGCATTTTTAAGTAATGAAGCTTTCCCTTGTATGTGTTCCAGTTGGAGGAGAAGCTAAAGGAGAAAGTAGATAAAGTCTTAGTGGAGAGAATAAATTTGACAGGGGAGATGGATACATTCAGCACGTAAGCGACAACTGCAGACCAGTCTTTTTATTTTCTTGTAAAAAGAGCCTGCTTTTGTTATGTGAAGATTGTTTTAATGGTGCCACTTGTGTGTATTTTCAGTGTAATTTCAAACAGTATCCAGCTACTTGTTCAAGATCTTGATGCTGCCTGTGACCCTGCTCTCACTGCTATGAGCAAGGTTGGAGAGCATAACACACTCACACATTCAGCATTGCATTCATTAAAAAGTATCATTTTTGCCTTTAAAAGATGCAGTTACTCTGTTTTTGGTGGTTATTTGAATTAGAAACTTAATTTTCCACATCAGCATCTTTGTTTGTATGTCTTTATATATTTGTTTAACGGTGCATATGTGTAACCACTGACACTAAAGCTTCTCTCTCTCTCTCTCCTTTATCTCTCCCGCTCAGATGCCGTGGCAGAGTGTGGAGCACGTGGGTGACCAGAGTCCTTATGTGACATCGATCATCATGCACATTAAACAAAATGTACCGATCATCAGAGACAATCTGGCCTCCACACGCAAATACTTCACACAATTCTGCATCAAGTTTACAAAGTACTCTTCATACACTCACACGTTCACACCATGTTCCATACATAAGCTGCAGTTAAAGGTTCCTAAAGTTAATATACATGACACTTTTTTCTTTCCTTAGTTCTTTTATTCCCAAATTCATCAACCACCTGTTCAGATGTAAACCTATCAGCATGGTGGGAGCTGAACAAGTAAGTTTGAGCTCTACCATTGTCTTAAACGCATTATACATATGTGTGCTTTTACATGATTGTTGCACCAGAACATGCACACATTACATTATGTGCACTGGTATACACATTCAATTTTAAAAGTCATTGTGCCTGAGTTTCTGCCTTATGTATCCTGTCCCATCAGCTCCTCCTTGACACCCACTCCCTGAAGACGGTGTTGCTGGATCTGCCCTCCATAGGCTCCCAGGTGCTCCGCAAGGCACCTGCCAGCTACACCAAGATAGTGGTGAAAGGCATGACTCGTGCAGAGATGATACTTAAGGTGAGTAGGACAGAGGACTATATTAAATCTAAACCAGTAGGGCAGCTTTATTCAGAGAAGCCGTGCAGCTTCCAGGCACAGCTTTGTGTGGGAAGGGCCCAGCCTAACCTTTGTTAGAGGAAAAACACTCAACCTTGCACTTAAAGCCAGTGGAGATGAATTTAATCAGTTTACCTTTCACATATAAACTCAGATCAACCTTGTATGTTTCACAGATAGATTTTAATGAGAACCTGAGTGTAACTTTAAATACAAAATAGTTTAATTTAAACATACTATCAGAGCTGCTTAATCTTTATAGGACACTTCAGATTTTATGACATTTAACTTTAAATTCACGCTGGCCTGTTTTACAAGCAAACCTTCAGTTTCTGACCTTTAAAGGCTCCGAACTTTAGCTAGACCCCTTTGTGTGAGTGGGCTTTCTTTATCTCTTGTTTGCCATTTAACAGATTTATTGTTGAATCTCTGACATATCCAGTTAAACATGAGCTTTGGTGTTGATGCTAGCACTTCGCTAAGAACAGTCTGGCACAACGTGAAGCTAACTGCTTTTTCCACTAGTTAAGGGTCAGTCATAATAGGCTACCACAGAGTGAATAAACATTTCTCCTTGGAGTGTTTGTGGTTTGACCGGCAAGCCAACATTTAAATGTTTATCTTGAGCAGATGATCTACTTTGGGCAAAAAAACTTTAATTGTGTATTTAACCCCCTCTCACAATGAGAATGTTTCCATGTAACAACCTACTTCACATGAGGCAGTGAAGGAAAGATTTAATGAGCGACAGACAAGCCAACATAAGACATGCGCACACACCTACCTATTCTTTCACAGTTTTTGCTGGACCTCGAGCAAATGGAAATGCATGAGTTAAATGAATCTATGCAACCATGTGTCTACTCACAAAAACCATCACGTGCAGTATTGTGGTGTTTAGAGTGTGCGCTGCAAACACAGGATGCAGCCATTTAGCCTTGACTCACAATTACCTAATGACACCCAGGAGGACAGTGGTATGTGGCTGCCATAGATTTACCCCACCCTAATTAACTGATCCTGGAGTTTACAGAAATGCGCACACACAGAGAAAGAGAGCGTACACGCCTGCCTGTTCCCTGATTTCTCTTGGACTCCCTGGAGGTCTTCTTTCCTTCCTGAAGTTGTCGTGGTAGGACTGTCTTGATCTTTATGGCAGTCAGTGTGACCTGCTCTAAACGTGCTGTGCCAGCCCTGCCTTCACCATGAAGAACTGTGGATAAATGGCAGACAGTAAAGTACTTGAGATTTATGCCTTCTTGATTTATGTAACCACTCTTCCACCCTGACTCAGACTCAGGTTTTCAGGCACACTGACTTTGTTTTTGAAGCTGTCTGACAAACCCCCCTCACGTCATTTTACAGCCTCATCTGACTGTTTTCTGCTGGGATTCACACTCTTCCATATGGCCTATGTAAGGCCAGTCTTTGCCCCCCCTGGAACAAAAAGCTCAGAGTATATGTACATTAATTTCCACTCATCTGCAACACATCGAAACCCCTGGAAAAAAAAGCTCAGAGTATATATACATGAATTTCCACTCATCTGCAACACATCGAATGGGGATTTCATATTATAGAAGTGTAAAATACATTCACATCAACCCATGAATGTTTCAACAGCCAGCGGGCCCCCCATCTATGACTTCTGAAGAACAGTTGAAAGCGCCACAAGATAATGCAAATAAGATAGAGTTAGGAACTACAGTTTATCCCAGTAGCAAAACATCGTAAGAGTTCTGTGGATTCCTCTGAAAAACTGTTTGGAAAAAGTCATACAAACATTTCCTCTGAGAATGTTTCTGGCCTTGGAGAGAAAACCAATATGAGAAAGGAGAACCCTTTGTACGGTGGCCAGCCATTGACTTGTTGTCATATCAGGGTTCCTCACAGGTAATCGCTTCCACCTTGAAGCTTCTGAAAGACGAACCCATTTAATGAAGGTTAATACAAGAATTCCTTTGCCTAGCCTCAACAATAGCTTTAAATTACACTGACATGCTTTGACTTGAAATTAAATCTGGTTTACCCTCAGCGAGAAAGTGCACTTCATTGGGACAACTGAAGGAGCGCTTTATACTGACAAAGCTCGCTGCGAGATTGGAGCCTTCTGTAGGGTTCCTTGTGCATTTCAGACATTTAAGAACAATGTAAGTTCTTCAACCTGAAATTGTATTGTTTTTTGACTCTTGCTCACTTCAGACACTGTAAGAACTTATGAGCGTCTGGAGCTTTTAGGGTAATTTTTTTTTAACCCTTTTACAAATATTTGCATTATACCTTTCATAAAGAAGAAAAGTGTCATCCAGTGCACAACAACAACAGTGGAGGTCTATGGCACAGACGAATAAGCTGACTCAGGTTGGAGACTGACAGGTTGAAAATACTAGTAGAAGCAATTCTGCGCTGGTTTTAGTCTCTGTATGGAGATTGTTGAAAATACTCGTAATATAGAAAATGACTGCCCTTATCCGTTAAAGATGGATGGATTTGGGTTCTCTGTTATGTGCCATGTTCTAAAGCAGATAGGATTCTTTATGTCTGTCTGAGACGGCCTTTCCTGGCCTGGTACGATGCCTGTGAGACGTGGCTGTTTTCCATGCTCTTCCAGCCCAGCCCACCGTAGCTCCAGCGCTTTCTCCCCTACCTCTGAAGTTCCCTTGTGGGGAGTATTTAAAAGGCAGCCTCCTTCCCACCCTTTGTTCGGCCTGAATTA